TCCTATAATGACTTAGTGTATGTTATCAGTGACTTAGTGTATATTATCAGTAATAATTATAATTATTTTGTAACATTGTATGCTACAGAAGTAATGAAATTTCCTTGTCAATTGCATCTTTGACTGTGGCTGTCCTAAGACTTTTTGTCATTCACAGACAATTATTGTCTTGTTTTAATCCTCTTCAAATGAAGGTTTATAACCAGCTATAGGATACTGAAAATTACTCTTAAATGCAAGTCTCTGATAACTTTGGAAAGTGTGCCATTAAAATACAGAGGAAGAAAAAAAGCTTCCAAGACTCTTTTGGAAAAATAATGTGTTCTTAAATAATGGGCATAACAGAAATTAATTGCACAGACTAATGAAAGATGGAAATAATCTTTTTATGACTTTTTTCTTAAAATGTTGCTGATCCTTTCTGTTTTGTTTTTCAGAGTCAAGCAAACTTTTCTTTTGAACTATTTACAGCTTTTAACAATTGAGTAAAATATGTTTCTCTAAACAAAATTTGGAGCATATTTCTTTCTCTCTACCTGATTTATCCCAAATTTGAAAACTATTTGTCAGTATTCTTAACCTGTGGCAATATATTAATAATTATTTGCATACGTGCAATAAGAATCTGTTTTCTTTTGTAACAGGACACAATTGGAGAAACTGGTTTATATCAAGGCTTTGAAAGGAACAGCATACTTCTAAATATAAACAAACTGCCTTAAGGAATCAAAGTTGACTGATAGAGCTAATAAAATGTCCTTGGGAAAACTGGCTTTATGCCTTGTCTGTGCAGCCCCTGTACAGGGTTCCTGACATGTAGTAAGGAAAGAATGTCACTTTGTGACAGGTCCAGAAGCCCTAAGTTATTTTGGGACCTTGAGAGGATCATACAGGTAATTGAAGGTATAAACCCATGGCTGGGCAAGGCTTTAAAAAGTCAAATATAAGATTCCTTATGGAACAAGTTTCCATCAAAGCCAATTAAAAAAAAAAAAAGAGCCTATATGATGAATAATTATTCTTGCTGCACTTTATGCAAATAATCATGCCAAGTATGATAAGACTAAAGCTTATTTCACAAGCAAGTCCTACCATTATTTGTTTTTAATAAAAATGGGGACTAGAGAGAAAAGAAATTGTTTCAAAAACTATGGTACACCGGTTATTAGACTCTAGTCTCATTGATTGTTTTTTTTTTTTTCTGTAATCTAGACTGACCTTGCTTATTTCTGTGAACCAACCACTGATCTCTGGCTACAGCTCAGAACAAATAATAGGGATGGGTAACATAAGAAAAATCTTGATCGGTATTCTAATGCTGGGCATATATTGGAATCTGTTAGCAACCCCATATCAGCTTAGTTCCAACAGTTGGGCAGTTAATGGAATGTCTTCTTATTTAATTTATTTGGGACAAAGTATTAGTCCATTCAGACACTGCTATAGAGAAATACCCCAGACTGGGTAATTTATAAAGCAACAGGGTTTAATGGCTCACAGTTCTGCAGACTATACAGGAAGCATGGCAGCTTCTGCTTCTGGGGAGGCACCAGGGAGCTTTTAGTCATGGCCTAAGGCAAAGTGGGGGGCAGGCATCTTACATGGGAGGAGCAGGAGAAAGAGAGAGAGGGAGAAGGAACCATCCACTTTTAATCAACCAGATCTGATGAGGACTCACTCACTATCATGACCAAGGGGGATGATGCCAAACCATTCATGAGAAATCACCCTGTGATCCAGTCACCTCCCATCAGGCCCTACCTTCGACTTTGGGGATTATAACTGGACATGAGATTTGGTGAGAACACAGACCCAAACCATATCAGATAATCTTACTTATTTTGCTTTACTATTGTGGAACATATTGCTGTTGTATACCTTGTGTGGGAATGGAGAATAAGCTTGCCCAACGTTTTCTGAAACTGAACATTTGCTAATCTTCCAGATACCACCTTTTGTTGGAACTCAGAGTTATGGATGGCCCTCACTATGCTGATGCTTTCTCACTGAATTCCTCTCTACCCCGAATACAAAAGACCTTCCTAGTCAGGTGGGAATATTGTTACCCCTACTTAGCCTGAAGAAGCTACAGAAGAGGAATCTTCCTACCACTACAAGATAAGGGTCCTCTTGTGAAAGGGAGGGGGGAAATATGTCAGAAGCATTGGAATCAGAGCAACTTCAACTTGAATAGGGGCTGGGTAAAATGAGGCTGAGACCTGTTGGGCAGCATTCCTGGGAGGTTAGGCATTTTCACCCCCTGGGGTCTGAGATGAGATAGAAGGTCACTAGTCCAGGCCACAGAGACCCTGCTCAGATAACAGGATGACATATGAAATCGGGCCACAACCTGCCGAAAACCAAGATGGCAACAAAAGTGACCTCTGGTTGTCCCACTGCTCATGATGTCCTAATTATAATGCATTAGCATGCCAAAAAACACGCCCACCAGTGCCACGGCAGCTTACAAAGGCCATGGCAACGTCTGGAAGTTTCCCTGTGTGGTCTGCAATGGGGAGGAACCCTTGATTCCAAGAAATTTCTACCCCTTTTCCAGAAAGCTCATGAATAATCCACCCCTTGTTTAGCATATGATCAACCATAAAAATAGCCAGCCAGCAGCCCTCAGGAGCTTTTCTTCCTTCCTTCCCTTCCCTCCCTCCTTTTCTTTCTTTTCTTTGCTCTTCCTTCCTTCCTTTTCTCCTTCCTTCTTTTCTTTCTTTCTCTCTTCTTTCTTTCTCTCCTTCCTTCCCTCCTTCTCTCTTTCTCTTTCTTTCTGAAGGAGTCTTGCTCTGTCACCCAGGCTGGAGTTCAGTGGCATGATCTTGGCTCACTGCAACTGCTGCCTCCCGGGTTCAAGCAATTCTCCTGCCTCAGTTTCCTGAGTAGCTAGGACTACAGGCACGTAATCACCATACCTTGCTAATTTTTTGTTGTTGTTTGTATTTTTAGTAGAGATGGGGTTTCACCATGTTAGCCAGAATGGTCTTGATCTCCTGACCTCATGATCTGCCTGCCTTGGCCTCCCAAAGTGCTGGGATTACAGGTGTGAGCCACCGTGTCTGGCTTACTTCTCACCTTACTTCTTGCCTGCCCTCCCTCCCCCCCCCCC